CTTTTTTTCCCCCCCCACTCCTCTGTGGTTTGGAGAAGCAGTTTAAGGGTCGGGCTGGGCTGCTCGGGACCCCCATCAGCACCCCCTTGGCACCCCCAGGACACCCCGGCCACCCCTGTCACCCTCCCCTCCCCCCTGCCTTTGGAGCCTCTGGAAAAGGGAATTAAAATGGGGTGATTTTTGCCGTCTTTGTGCTGGTGGTGACATGGGCAGGACCAGCCTCAGCCAAGGGGGTGGGGGGACCCTCCTGCACCCCTCAATCCCTGCCCTCGTGGTGCCACCTCAGGGAGGGGAATCCCCCTCGCCCTGGGGGTCCTGGGCTGTATCCAGCCTGGCACTGGGTGCTTTGGCTTTGGGGTGCTGCCCACGGGGGTCTCTTATCCGGCTGGAAGGTCCTGCTCCCCAAAAAGCAGCTCCCACCCAAGGCCGCTTTGTTTTGCGGAGGCGAAGCGCGGATCGGGATCACGGGGGACGGGGGGAATGTAAACTCTCCACCCAGGAATGCAGGAGCTGGGAGAGGAGGGTTTTTTTTTTTTAAAGGCTTGGATGTCCCGGCTTTGGAAAACAGAGCTGAGATCTGGGATTGCTCCCGAGCCGCGGGAGTGCTGAGGGCACCCCACGGGCACTGCTGGGGCACACTGAGGGTCCCTGTCCCCCCATCTGTGCCCCACGGGATCCTGCGCTGGAGCTGAAATTGGAGTTGGGATTGGGCTGCATCCTGTGCCATGTGGCCCTTTCCAAGCAATTTTTGGGGGAGTTTGGAGGTTTTTGGCTCTTGGGGCTGTTTGCAGCCCAAGCAGGGAGGAGCTGGAGGGCATCTGCAAGCAGCGGTCAGTGCATGTCCCCTCCATCCCCTGGTGTGTCACCCCAGGGATGGGGCACCCTGGATCAGGCAAACACCAGGGACAGGTCACCCCAAGGACGGATCCCTCTGGGAATGTCACCCCAGGGACAGCTAACCCTGGGGACAGGTCACCCTGGGAATGGGTGACCCTAAGGATGGGTCACCCCAGGAACAAGTCACCCCTGGGGAGAGATCGTCCCAAACCCAACTAACCCCGGGGATGGATCACCCCTGTCCAAGTCACCCTGGGGACAGGTCACCCAGAGAACGGGTCCCCCCAGGTCCCACTAACCCCAAGGAGAGGGGACAGGGGACAAAAGACAGGGACCTCCTCTCTGCTCACGGCTGTCCCCAGCCCTCCCAGCCTGGTGATCCCCATCCTCCTCTTCCCCTTTTAATCCCAGCGAAGAGGCAGCAAACGCCGGTGGCGGGTGGGGCCGTGTCCCCGCCCGGCCGTGCTGGGGGTCCTTTGATGTCCCCTAATGAGCCCCTCTCTGTTTTCTCAGCTGCCAGAGCCGCGGGGGTCAATTAACGCGCAAACGCCACCCCAGAGCACCCGCAACTCGTCACACCAGTGCCACCAGTGCCCACGGGGCTCGTGCTGCTGGGGACGGGGACAGGAGGGCCCCAGGAGCAGCCACGGTCAGGTCAGCCGTGGGGTGCTGGTCCCAGCACAGAGACAGCCCTGGGGTGAAACCAGTGCAGGGAAGGGAGTGCTAGAGAAGGAACTGGTCTTACTGGGAGAAGGACGGATCATGGTGTGTCCCAAGCACTGGTTGTTCCAGGGCTCCTGTCCCCCAGTCCACAGTCACTCCTGTTCCTTGCCACTGGCTTTCCTGTCCCCTGGACCATGGGCTGCCCTGGCCACGAGCTCTCCTGTCCCTCATCTCCCAGGGACCCTGTCTCCTGGGATTGTCCTGTCCCCTGTCCCCAGGGACCCACCCTGTCCCTGACTCAGCTCTGTCCCCATGGCCCACAGGCTCTCCTGTCCCTGGACTGTCCCATTCTCAGCCCCAAGTGGCAATGGGGTCCATCTCCCCTGTCCCCTCCCCTTCCACTGTCCCCTCTTGTCCTGGTCCCCAGCAGTGTCATGGGGGGTGGCAGAGGGAGGTGACAGGGAGCAGGGATGTGACAAGGGACATCTCCTTGTGCTGTCCCCATGATCATTTGGCATGACAGGTCCCCGGGCCTCGTGGGGGTCCCCCCAGCCTGCTCCTGGCTCCGTGTGCCTTCACCTCCACGGGCACGGAGCCAGCAGGGACCTGAGGCCACGGGGAGCAGCACCCAAAGGTGGCAGCGGGTCCCCCGGGTGCCCCCGGCCCCCCCAGCCCCGGGGGCGGGCGCTGGAGCGGGATCTGGCCGCGGCCGAGGCCGAGCCCTGGCCGGACGCCAGCGGGGACAGGCGGCCGTCGGCTAAATTGGGCTCGGGCCGCGCTGCTCTTAAAGGAGCCGGAGCTGCCGGGAAGCGGGAGGGGCTCCGGCGCCTCGGGGGTCCCTCGGGTGGCTGCGGCTCCCAAGGCAGGTGGAGGATCCTGTCCCCATCCCGCCATCCCACCCTGGTGCCGCGGGATGGGAGTGGGATCCATCCCCACCCCTCTGCCCCCCTGAGCCCTGTGGGACCCCGGCTCCACCTGAAGGGTGGGGGAGTGGGGAATGTGGAGCCACTTCTGCATCTTGGTGTTCTCCTGGAGAGCTTGGGATGAGTGAGTGTGATGATCTACGTCATTCCTCCACTGGAAATATGGGACACACAGGTGTGAGAATCTCCATCTCAGCACCCCTCCTGGAAAATAATGAGGGATGGATATAGGATGGGTGGGCATGGGACCAATCTCCATCCTGGTGCACCTCCTGGAGAACATGGGATGGGTGAGTGTGGGATCCCACCATCATCCAGTGGCCTCCAGAGAGCATAGAGGGGTTAGGAAAGGTATGGATGGACACGGATGGGTGGATGGATTGACATGGGATGGATGGACACAGGATGGAGGGACATAGATGTGGTGGATGGACATGGGCTATGGGATGAGTGGACATGGATAGGATGGATGGATGTGTGTGGAATGGGTGGATATGGGATGGATGGACATGGATACGATGGATGGACATGGATAGGATGGATGGACACGGATAGGATGGGTGGACATGGGATGAATTCAATGTGTGGAATGGGTGGATATGGGATGCACGGACACGGATGGGATGGACAGACACTAGATGGGTGGACATGGGTGGGATGGGTGGACAGGGGATGGATGGACACGGATGGAGGGGTAGGGATGGATGGACAGAAGGACACAGGCGTGGTTCCCCTCCAGCCCCTCCCTGCCCTGCCTGGGGCTGCCCCACGGCCACGCGTGTCCGGCACAGCTGCCCCGGCCGGGGGGAGGGTCTGGGGGGAGGGTCCGGGCAGGGGGCCCGGGAGGGCTCTGGGGAGGATCCGGGCGGGGGCGGGGGCGGCTCCGGAGGCGGCGGCGGCTCCGGGTGCGGGAATGTTTGTGCAGCTGGAGCCGATTATGGGGCGGGAGCGAAGGGAGGGGGCGAGAGGGGGAATGGGGGGGCCAGGGGGTCGTGCGAGGCGGAGAGGGATGTGCGAGGAGGGTGTGTGTGCGAGGAGGAGAGCGGGGGTGGGCACAGGGGCTGTGAAGGGGAGTGGGTGTCCAAGGGGGGGTCTATGCGTGCGGGAGGGAGGGTTGTGCTTGGGGGTTGTGCAAAGGGGGTGTGAAAGGGGGGTGTGCAGAGGGGGGGGAGTGTGCCAGGGGTTCCCCAGGATGGGGGTGCCCCCACGCACACACACAGCTCTCACGTGCACACGTATGTGCACACTCACGTGTCCCATGGCAGGCACACGTGTGTGTGTGCCTGTTCCACAGGTGTGAGCAAACACCACGCACCAGGAATACCCCAGGAACGTGCCAGGCACACACACACACACGTGTGCACACCCTGCGGGTCCCCCATCCCTGGGGCCACCCGTTGAGGGCACCCCAAAACCCAGAGTCACCCCAGCAGGGTATAACCCCTGCACTGCCAGGGCCTGATCCCACTCCTTGATTCCACCTTTTTTTTTCCCCCCAAAACAGCCATTTCAGGCCGAACAAAATATTCCTTTGGCTCAAATCGCCGCTTTTATTAATTATTAATTGTTTGTATTAGTTGTTATTATAATTAATAAAGGGAAAGGAATGACCACCCAGCAGGGCAAACACTCTGCTTGGCTTTGTCTGCCTTCTCCAGGGAAGAGAAGGGAGGGAGGGAGGGAGGGATGAAGGGATGGATGGATGGATGGATGGAATGGAGGATGGATGGGTGGATGGAGGGATGCAGGGATAGATGGAGGGATGGATGGAGGAATACAGGGATGGATGGACAGACACCCACTGTCACCACACTCACCCACGCCTGCTAGGTTTCAGGGGTGGACATGTGGTTCAAAGCTCATTTAACGCTCTTTTTTTAGGGGGGGGAATTCGTTAAATCCTCAGTGGGATAGGAACAGGATCCTCCTTGGTGGGACAGGAACATCATCCTCCTGGAGGGGACAGGGACAGCCTCCCCACGGCCCTGCCGTCACCGGTGCCATGGCCCTGCCGGGGCTTTCCTCCCTCCCCGGGGCTGTCTGGGGCGCTGTGTGGGCCGTGGGATCCCCCTCGGCCCGGTGTTCCCCCGCTTCCCTCCCCTCCTTTTCCCGGGACGGGGCGGGACACTCGGGGGTCACAGACCACGCCCACTCCAATACGTCACCCAATTCAATCAGACCACGCCCACCATGGCACCGCCCCTTCTCAAGCCTCGCCCTCCTCCTTGAAACCACGCCCCCTTCTCGCGCCCTTCAACAGACCACACCCCCAAGGGGATATTTGCATAACCACGCCTATTTAAAAGCCACGCCCACCAACGAAAAAGTCAGATTCAGGCCCCGCCCCCTCATTGCTCGCAGCCTGCCTTCCCCTCAGGCAAACCACGCCCCCTTTCCCTGCCAAACGCGCTCTTTCCCAACCACTCCCTCCCTCCCTCCCTGCCGTCCCTCCTCCCCTCACGAACCCCGCCCGCTCTCCCCTCCCTCGCCCCTCCTCTCCCCGAACCGCTCCCCTTTCCCCACCCCCGCCCCTGCCCTGCTCCGTTCCCGCCATGCCGCGCGCGCGGAAGAGGCGCGGCCGTGGCCGCGGCGCCGCCCCTTCCGTGAGGGCGGCGAGGCGGAGGAGGAGCGGCAAGATGGCGGCGGCGGCCGTGCTGGAGCTGCAGCGCGCGCAGTCCCTGCTCTCCACCGACCGCGAGGCCTCCATCGGCATCCTGCACTCCATCGGTGAGCGCCCCGCCAACCGCCGCGCCCGCCGCCCCGCGCCCGCAACGCGCCCGCAACGCAACCCCCCGCGCCCCGCGCCGCTGCTGACTCACCGTGCGGGCAGCGCGGCCTTGGGCCCGGCCCGCTCCGCGCCGCGGGGCTATGGAGGAGCCGGGACCGGCGCCGTGTGAGCGCTGATGCGGGAGGGGGTGCTCGGGCCGTGCCGGTTCGCGGGGGCTCGCGTTGCGGTGCCGCGGCCGCGCTGAAGGGCGGGCGGCGAGGGCTCCTCCTGCCGCTCTGAAATTCGCTGTAAGCCCGCGCACGCTGAGCCCTGGAGGAGGTTTTCTCGCCGTGCCGCGGCTCGGTTTGAACTCCTCGCTGGAGAACTTCGCCCCGTGCTCGCTTTGCTCGTCCCCGGCGGGTGCTGGTGGCACCCCCTGCCCCGGGCGTTTATCGGAGGTGTTGAAGGGGTTGTCGGTGATTTGGGGGTAAGAGAGTGGAGAGCCCTCGAAACCGGTGCGAAAGCAGCGAATGCTTTATATTCCTGAGCCGTGCGGGGCCTCTGCTGTCACCGTGACCCGCTGTCACCCAGCTGGGCCGGCACAAGTTTTTCCTGGTGCTCCTGTCCGGCCTCGGAGGGGCTGTCAGGGCTTTAGGAGTTGTTTGTGCCTCCCTCGGTGTTCTGCTGGTTATTTCGGGGTTGGTGTCCTCGAGTCACGCTGGGCCGGGCCGGGCTCAGTCAGGACTCGGTCAGAGGGATCAGGAGCAGCCCAGGGTGTTGTGTGATGATTTTTCTCCTTGAGAGAGAACTTCCCTCGCTTTGGGCACCACGCTGAGTTATTCCAGGGGCTGAGAGCCACGGGACGGGCTCGTGGAGGGCTTAGTGCCCTCAGAGCTGGGATTTTGGCTGTGTTTGTGTGGAATTTTGAGGGATTCCCTGTGCTGGGGGTGGTGGCAGGGAAGGAAAGGGATAACTCGTGATTTGGTGCTTCTGGGTGTGTTTGTCACTTTACCTGCCCGGGAGCAGAGTCACTCACCTGGCACAGGGTGTAGGTGGCACTGCCAGCAGCTGTGACACCTGAGTGAGGGGGGACATCCCCCCTCTCAGAGATGGTGGTGTGCTGCATTTCATCCATGGCATCTCAGCTTAACACACAAAGCAGCACCATGAACAATCCCAGAGCGGGATAACCCTGGAAATCCCATTAAATGCCCATTATGTGCTTCTGTGGCTCTGGTGTGTGGTGGTGTCTGTAAATGCCACTTGCACAGCTGGAGAAGCTGAATGGGACTGTTCAGAGCTGGGATTGCAGTGGGGTCTGTCAGCTGTGATACCCTCATGGAGCACAGGCAAAGCTCTACAAACTGAATTTAAACTTCCCACAGAACCTGCCCCCCAGACCTCTCCTGGGCTGGGCTGAACTCACCAGTGCCTGTGGGATCAGCTCCTGCTTTTGGGCACCTCTCCAGGAGCTGACCAGCAGGGATTGTCCTCTGGAACAGCACCAGAACAACTTTTCCTGCTCTTTTTTCCCCAGTGAAACGTGATGTCCAGGAGAACGATGAGGAAGCAGTGCAAGTCAAGGAGCAGAGCATCCTGGAGCTGGGATCGCTGCTGGCCAAGACTGGGCAGGCAGAAGGTGAGTCTGAGATCCAGCTGAGCTGACAGGAGGTGCTGCAGCCAGTGGGTTTAGTCTCCTTATTTATGGGACAGCAGGAAAAGCAGCTTTTGGCAGGGAATGTTCTCTCAGAGACAGGACAGAAACTAAACTAAAAAAAAACTTTAAAAAATTAAATAAACAGCATAAAATGTTAATCTTGTGCTGCTTGTCCCCGTGTCCCAAATGATGCTGCTGTGCAGTGCAGTCTGTGACTCTTGGGCATGCTGGTCTTTTAGTACAAGTGATTCAAGTTTTGTTAAGTCGTTATGTTTGGGATGAGAAGTGTCTCCTGATTGGTTTTTAATTACCTCAGAGCCTCGTTTCGAAGGGGAAAGTTTGTCCCATAGAGTCCTTTCTGTCCAGCAGCTTCCCTCACAATTAATTGATTTATCTGCTGGGCCATGACATCAGCAAAGCCTGCCCAGCTCCACATGGGAGCAGGATGGGACAGTCCCTCCATTGTGAGGGGACAGAGATGGAGCTGAGTTCTCTATTCAGTGATTATTTGGAATCTGTTCCCATCTCCTCGGGGCAGGGAAGGTTGGTTGGTTGGCGCTGGGGGTGGTGGCAGGAAGGAAAGGGATAACTCGTGATTTGGTGCTTCTGGGTGGGTTTGTCACTTTACCTGCCCGGGAGCAGAGTCACTCACCTGGCACAGGGTGTAGTGTGGCACTGCCAGCAGCTGTGACACCTGAGTGAGGGGGGACATCCCCCCTCTCAGAGATGGTGGTGTGCTGCATTTCATCCATGGCATCTCAGCTTAACACACAAAGCAGCACCATGAACAATCCCAGAGCGGGATAACCCCGGAAATCCCATTAAATGCCCTTTATGTGCTTCTGTGGCTCTGGTGTGTGGTGGTGTCTGTAAATGCCACTTGCACAGCTGGACAAGCTGAATGGGACTGTTCAGAGCTGGGATTGCAGTGGGGTCTGTCAGCTGTGATACCCTCATGGAGCACAGGCAAAGCTCTACAAACTGAATTTAAACTTCCCACAGAACCTGCCCCCCAGACCTCTCCTGGGCTGGGCTGAACTCACCAGTGCCTGTGGGATCAGCTCCTGCTTTTGGGCACCTCTCCAGGAGCTGACCAGCAGGGATTGTCCTCTGGAACAGCACCAGAACAACTTTTCCTGCTCTTTTTTCCCCAGTGAAACGTGATGTCCAGGAGAACGATGAGGAAGCAGTGCAAGTCAAGGAGCAGAGCATCCTGGAGCTGGGATCGCTGCTGGCCAAGACTGGGCAGGCAGAAGGTGAGTCTGAGATCCAGCTGAGCTGACAGGAGGTGCTGCAGCCAGTGGGTTTAGTCTCCTTATTTATGGGACAGCAGGAAAAGCAGCTTTTGGCAGGGAATGTTCTCTCAGAGACAGGACAGAAACTAAACTAAAAAAAACTTTAAAAAATTAAATAAACAGCATAAAATGTTAATCTTGTGCTGCTTGTCCCAGTGTCCCAAATGATGCTGCTGTGCAGTGCAGTCTGTGACTCTTGGGCATGCTGGTCTTTTAGTACAAGTGATTCAAGTTTTGTGAAGTCGTTATGTTTGGGATGAGAAGTGTCTCCTGATTGGTTTTTAATTACCTCAGAGCCTCGTTTCGAAGGGGAAAGTTTGTCCCATAGAGTCCTTTCTGTCCAGCAGCTTCCCTCACAATTAATTGATTTATCTGCTGGGCCATGACATCAGCAAAGCCTGCCCAGCTCCACATGGGAGCAGGATGGGACAGTCCCTCCATTGTGAGGGGACAGAGATGGAGCTGAGTTCTCTATTCAGTGATTATTTGGAATCTGTTCCCATCTCCTCAGGGCAGGGAAGGTTGGTTGTTTGGCACTCAGCAGTTTGGGGCTGTGTTTGTGTGCCTTTTTGGGGGGCCCTTTTCACCTGGGGCATTGCAGGAGCTGTCACACCGTGTCAGTAATAAGTCAGTCAGCTCAGTGTGGCTGTCACTGTGCCCTTTGCACTCTGCTGTTTGCTCATGGAGAGAAAACCAAACACTGTTGTGCCCCTGCAGTGAGGGAGATGTGAGTGTTTGGGCCAAAAAGGGGGGAACCATCAGCAGGGTCTCTCTCCCCAGGTCAGTGTGGGATGTGCTGCTGGGGAGCAGAACTGGGAGCAGAGCTGATGAGGGTCCATGTGGCCTCCTCACCTCTGCAGAGCTTGGGGGTAGTCTTGAGTTTAAGGGAAGTTTTACACCAGTATAAAGAACTCCAGGGTTTTCTGCTAGGGTAAGCAGCTAATTGATTTAATTTTTTTTTAAGGGGTAGGCTAAGAAATTGGAAATGGCAATGTTAACTCACCAAACGCAGGGTGATGAAGGAGCAAACCTGAAGTGTTTCTGCAGGGTGTTAGAGAGAACACTGAACTGCAGAGTGATTTTGTTCTGGGTAGAAGATTAATTTGGTGGCATTAACTGGCCAGTTGTGTGTGTGTAGATGGGGGTGTGATCAGCAGGATGTGCTTTCTGGAGGTGTGGAGCAGCTGGGGGTGAGGGAACGGGTACCCCAGCTTAGGGCTGTGCTGGTACTGTGGGAGAGGCTCTGCCACCTTCCCTTCCTGTCACTTCTCCAGATTTGGTTTTAGCAAGTGGTGACAGGTCTGAGGTGTTGCAGTGCCCAGTATCCCTGGAAGTGGATACTGGGAAGGAATTCCTGGTTGTGAGGGTGGGCAGGCCCTGGCTCAGGTTGCCCAGAGAAGCTGTGGCTGCCCCTGGATCCCTGGAAGTGTCCAAGGCCAGGCTGGATGGGGCTTGGAGCAACCTGGGCTAGGGGAAAGTGTCCCTGCCCATGGCAGGGGGTGGCACTGGATGGGCTTTAAGGTCCCTTCCCACCCAAAGCATTCCATGATTCCATGACTCTGCTGAATTGCAGCCTTTGTTTACAAAAACAATAATACCACTGACCCTCTTCAATCCTGTATCCTTATCAAGCAGATAAACTCATAGATCAATTCCTTTGTTTTTTCATGGCAGTTCTAGGTTTTTATAGCACTGGAATAACTCGGATCAGGAATTTGGATCCATGGTGTGTGAGCCTGTGGAAGCACCTTCCCCAAGGATGAGCAGCAGGGCTTAATTTTCCAGAGCTGCTGCTCATCATTTCTCCAGAGCTGTCAATCACACCCCTTTACCAGGCACTGCATTCACTTGAGAAAAAATAAAATCCTAAAAATAGTTGATGTTGGTTATGTTGGTGGGGAAGGGAAATTTCTGTGGGAACTTTGATCCCGTGTGGCTGAGCGTGTAGTTTGGAAAATGCACAGCTGGATTCCAGCTGCTGACTTGGGTTTCTCGTGAGCTCTGGGGCAGCTGCAGAGCACGTCAGTGGAAAGGTTGGAAACACCCTGCATTATATTTCACCTGTTTTTTCCTTTTTTTCTTCTGAAGTTCCTGTGGGGAGGAGTATTTTGGGCACTAAAGCCATGATTCCACTGGTCCCGAGGGGCTGGTGCAGCACAGGGATGCACAGGAGGAGGTGCTTGGGAGTGGCTGAGAGCTGATGGATCCAGAGCCCCCCTTTCCCAGCTCACACCCTGATCCCTGGGAGTGGCTCTGTGCAGATCTGATGGGTCGGGAGGAGCTGTGTGCTGCTGTCCTGGGGGTTTGTTTGCTGTGTGTGAAAACCAGAGTGTTTGGCTTGGATTGAAATGATTGGGATTTGCATCCATGAGTGGTGCTGGAGGGTAAATGGACCTGGGAACAGGAGTGGTGTGGCTGAAGTTGGGGCAGCAGATCTCAGTTCCTCATGGAGTAAAAGCTGAGCACTGTCAGGGCTCAGATATTACAGCAGATGTACCTCAGTTCTAGAAAAACCTGCCCACTTATGCTCTGGCAGAGAGAAAGTCAGACTTTTATGAAAGCTGAGGCCTGGCAGAGCATCTTGTTTTGTTCCCTCTTCCACTGGAGAAGGATTCAGGACCTCTTGCACTGCAGTTTGGGAATAAGGCTGCTCTGAGGATCCAGGGCACACCCCAGATAAGTTCTGTTTGTTCTAAATCTGCACTCTGAGATGTTTGAGAATGTCAGTGTGACATCACTCCAGGGCCTAAAGGGGCTCCAGGAGAGCTGGAGAGAGACTGGGGACAAGGGATGGAGGGACAGGACACAGGGAATGGCTTCCCACTGCCAGAGGGCAGGGATAGATGGGATATTGGGAAGGTTGTGAGGGTGGGCAGGCCCTGGCACAGATTGCCCAGAGAAGCTGTGGCTGCTCCTGGATCCCTGGAAGTGTCCCAGGCCAGGTTGGATGGGGCTTGGAGCAACCTGGGTGAGTGGAAGGTGTCCCTGCCCATGGCAGGGGGTGGCACTGGGTGGGCTTTGAGGTCCTTCCCACCCAAACCATTCCATGATCACCATGAGTGATTGGATTGGAAAAAACTGGGTTCCACTTCTTAAGAGTGTGAGACATGAGTTGTATCAGGCTTGATTAAACTTAAAATAAATGGGTTGAAAGAGTAAAAAATTATGAGGAATAATTTTTATATATTAGTAAGATATTATGACAATTACTTTGCATTACTGCTAAATGAAATATGGAAGAAACCTTGTTTTCATTTGTTTTTGTTGGAATCCTCCCAAACTGAAATCCTCCTGATACTCCTCCATACACTAATTGAAATCAAATTAGTCTCTTATTTTAGTTTTGATTTGATATCAGTTTTATACAGAGCAAATTGAATTAAGATTCCTGAATTAGTCATTACAAGTCTTCATTTGATCTTTTATTATTGAATCTTGTAAACACTGTGATGTGAGATCCACCTGGATATTTGGGTGAGGCTTAAAAATCTGGGGCAAATAGCTGTGATTTCAGTGTAAACCCCACTGCTGATGAGTCAGCACTGAATCCTGCTCTGCTGGAAGATCATCTTCCCAAACTGTAAACAGCCCTGGCTGGGACCTGCCCCGGTGGCCACGTGTTGTTTGTTGTAGGAGACTTTTTCACTTGGGCAATTCCAACAGGTCACTCCCAGGGTGACACCGAGTCCTGGAGCTGCTTGTGCCCTGACTGCCACATTCCTGCTCCCTGGGAGTGACACTTTAGGGAGTATCTTCGTAAACCCAGACTTTTCCTTCTTCCACCTCTTCCAAAGACTCGCTTTGTACCTTATAATACACCTGTTACAAGCAGAAATGTAGTTAAGTGAGGTAAGAGCCCATCAGGTCAAGGTTTGGCTGGAGTGTTAAGGAATGTCATTTTCCAGCAGTTGGAGTGTTAAGGAATGTCATTTTCCAGCAGTTGGAGTGTTAAGGAATGTCATTTTCCATTTTGGTGTGTCCGACTTCCTGGGTCTGGCATCAAACTGAGATCATAAAAACACCTCTAAACCATAAACTCCGTTTTACAGAGCAATCTCAAAGCATTTAGCAGATTCTTACATTTTTAAAACGTGCCTGAGGCAGGAGTAGCTACAGCTGGTGGTAACTGGGGAGCTGCAGTCCCAGGCAGTGTGGGCAGGGCTGCAGGTGACGTTTATCACCGTGTCCTGTGAATAGCACTGAGAAACTGCCTGTTGGGTGTGATAAACACCACGTGCAGACCTGTCAGCAGCTCTTGGCTCTTTGTATTTCATGGTTTGGGGTTTTTATTTTTATTTTCCAGAGCTGGGAGGACTCCTCAAGTACGTCCGGCCCTTCTTGAACTCCATCAGCAAAGCCAAGGCCGCCCGTTTAGTCCGGTCCCTGCTCGACCTGTTCCTTGACATGGAGGCAGCCACAGGACAGGAGGTGAGGCTGCACTTCCAGCAGCAAGGCTGTTCCTCAAAAGCCTTGCAGCACCTTTATCTGGCCTGGTTTGCTTCGTGCTCCAGAATTATTCATGTCATTTAACGCGCTCGAATGTGTTTTTATAAATAAAACATCAGGTGATTTGATTCACAACCAGGTTTTCCTGCAAGCCTCGCCCTGCTGGCAGGTTAGGAGTGGCTCCCACCCTGTCTTAGGTTTGTGTTGTTTCCTCAGGCTGGGTCAGGTTGGATATTAGGGGAGATTTCTTCATGGAAAAGGTTGTCCTGGCCTGGAGGGATTTAAAAGATGTGTGGATGTGGCACTGGGGGATGTGGATTAATGGTTACCATTCTGGGGGAGTGCTTGAACGCGGTGATCTTTGAGGTCTTCTCCAACCTAAGTGATTGTAGGTGCAGCATTGGGAGTGTTTTGTAGTGTGGTCAGTGCTGGGGATGTGGGAGGTGCTACAGCTGCTCCAGGGAGCTGGGGCCAGGAAAGGTGGGCATGCTGTGGGATGGCACAGAGGAGCTGTCCAGGAGCTGGTGGGATTCAGTGGTCAGTATTACTCAGCATCTTCCACTTGGAGGCACAGTGTGGTGGGTGTTTTACTGCACAGAGGCATGAAAGTTACTCCTGAAGTGGGAGTGGAAAGAGTTTTACAGGTGTAAAAACTCAGTCAGTGGTTCACCCACTGACTGACTGAGTTTTTACACCTGTAAAACTCTTTCCACTTGTGTGTTCTCCACAGACAACCCAGGATAGTCCAACATAGCCCACAGTTAGGATTCAGTCTGTTCTCATCAGCTCCCTAGGATGCAGTGGTTTGTTGTTTGGGGTTATTCCCCACTTTTTGGTTATTTGGGAATGGGATAAGAACAGGAACAGCTTGTAAGTGATGAGGAGCCACTTCCAAGCAGCGCTGACCTGCAGTGGGTTGTGCTGGCCCACCAGTCCCTTAGGTGGAAAAGGGAGACAGGGAGGGTCTGAGCAGCAGGTCAAGGACAAAACCCACATAAAACTGCACACAGGGACTGACAGACTGCAGGGCAGAGGAGGCTCTGCCATGCTGAGGGGCAGGTCATGTTCCCATTAGCCAAATCAGCACAGAACCATCACCCTTCAGTGCAGGTAAGGCAGGAAAATGTTCCTCATTTGCTGTTTGGCTCTTGTGCCTTCTGTGGGATGTTGCTATAAATGGTGACAGAATGTTTTGCCCCCTCTTTAGCAGAAGGGGCCAGAAAGTGGGGTGGGATGTGCAGGTGGGAAGGGGGCAATCCTTAAATCATCAGGAGAAAATGAGCAGCTTCAGACTCTTTTAAAGGTAACTTGGTGTAAAGGATGATGTTTGGGTGCAGTTGCAAAAGAGGTTGTGATAACAGCGATGGAAATAGGACCCAATTAGTCAAAATATTAGTTTTCAAGCATATTCCAACCCCAAAACCTTAAGGAATGGTGACATCCAACCTATGAGGTTCTTGGGGCAGCAATCCTGAATCCTTTCAGAAGTGTTCCAAGGGACTTCTGCTTCCTCGGTGTTGAGAAGACTCCCAGGAGCCCAGTAAAGCAATGAAATTGGAGGATTCCCCAGCTCCTAACACTCCAGCTTTCTCACTGGGCAGTAAATTGAAACCTCCTAATGGCTTTTCATTAAATGTTCACCTTTTAATAAGCAGTGAGGAGGAGCTGACAAGCCCTTCTTGTCCTGCTCCCAGAGATTCTGGGATAAGGATTTCTCCAGCCTGGCACCTGGGGGATGACTTAGGTGTTGTAGGCCACTACTAAACCCTCTTCTGACTGAGGTGGAACACCCTTTTATTCATCAAGGAGAGGAACACTCCCTCCTTTTATTCATCAAGGTTGGGGGGGAGTTTCAGCCTCAAAAATCTTCAGAAGCCCCTGCTGTGCTTTGAAGTGACGGGCTGGCCCCTGGCACCCAAAACCAGAGCCTGGCACCTCTGCTGCTTTGACATATCCAGGCCCTAAAAAACCCCTGCAATTTATTGCCTTTTATTGAAAATGCTCAGCATAGTTGTGAGTTTAGACTTGTGAGTTTAAACTTGTTAGTGCCTCCCCCAAATGCCTCTGAACGACACCAAAGGTGTCGTTCGGAGGCATTTGGGGGAGGCACTAACAAGGAAAGCTTTTAGGCCTGACTAATTAGCCTTGGCTTTTAGCCTTGACTAATTTCCTTCTGCTCCTTTTAAGGTGGACCTGTGTTTAGAGTGCATTGAATGGGCCAAATCAGAGAAGAGGACTTTCCTACGCCAGGCTCTGGAGGTACGTGACGGATCCCAGACCGGTGTGGTCACATCTTCCCTTTTTAATAAGATTTTGACACCTGTCAAAAGTAGAGAGGACTGTGTGTGTGTGTGTGTCTGTGTGTTGTTCAGGTCTTTTTTTTGTTTGTGTGTGTGTGTGTCAATGGGTGGGCATTAATTACACTGAATTAATTACACTGAATTATTTTGTAGTGCAGAATTAAGAACGTCAGAGTTTTCATTTTACAAAATAAATCTGTTCTGGCTTTCCTCACAGCAGTTCCTTTTCTGTTCTCCAGGCCAGGCTGGTCTCTCTCTACTTCGACACCAAGAGGTACCAAGAAGCTTTGCAGCTAGGTGAGGCTCCCACTAGGTGGTGGTAGTAGATCTCTGCTTTTTAAATTAAAACTCCTGACAAGGGAAACCACGGCCTGTGTCATGTTCCTTGATAAGTTTTGTGGGATTTGGCTGTTAATTCCTCAGTGCTGTGCCAGCTCTGCCGTCTCTTGCTGTGGCTGGGTGATAACAGCTCTTAGAGATGTCTTTGTTCTCGTTGTTTCACCACCCTCACCCATCTCACCTGATCTCAGGGTCAGGTTGGACAAGGCTTGGAGCAATCTGGACTCGTGGAAGGTGTCTCTGCCCATGGCAGGGGGTGGAAGGAGATGAGCTTTAAGGTCCCTTCCAACCCAAACCATTCCAGGATTCTGTGATTTACTAATTTCAGATAATTTTGGAGACTGTATCCAGTTGAAGGCTGGAGTTTGGCTGCTGCTGGCACATTCTGGAACACACTGCTGTGGTCAGGCTGGAGGGAGAAAGCAGCTTTTTGTCCCTTTGCTCAAACACAACCCCAGTAAAGCCAGTGCTGGGAAATGGCAGAACCTCTGTGGGTGTCCTTAGAGCAGCTCTGGTGAGGTGCTGTAAAGACTTCGAGGATTAGCTCCTGCACCCCCTGAGATGGTCATTACCCCTGTGAACTCCTGCCCTGCCCCAGAGCAGAGTGAAGCAGTCACCTTACAGCTCCCCTGGTGCCTTTTAAATGCTCATTTTGCAAATGACTGTGGAGCTCCAAGTGAAAGTTGAAGCTGTGAGTGAAGGTAGAGCTGTGGGTGAGGTTTGAGCCGTGTGGCAGAGCAGGGCTGAGGGATGTCCCAGGACACAGTGCTCACCTGGGACCCATAACCTGTCACCCTGAGTGGTGGCACGAGCTGTGTCGTGTCCAGAGCCACCTGGGGGGCTCCTGTCTGATCAGAATATCAGGTTAAGTGCTGTGCTACATGGAATTCAGGATGGAGCTAGAACTCATTTGCATATGGATATGTAATGAACTCGGATTTAAACTGATCAGCTCCAAAGCTGTGCTTAATGAGTTTAATCCCTTGAATGGTGATGGGACAGCCTGAGGAGTTGGGAATGCCTGGACAGGACAGCCCCTGTCATGCTCCACTGGGTGGTCAGTGTTGTGTCTGTGGCTGTGGGGGGTCAGGGCAAGCAGGGAGTCTCTCTGGGATGTTTTTAGGGATAATCTGTTCTTTTCTACCCAGTAATGCAGTTTCAGATCTGCTTTTCAGCCCCTGAGAACAGCAAGGGAGGAGGAGGTGCTCATCTCTGTTCACCCTAAGTTACCTCTTGGATTAGTGGGGGGGAAAGTTTTCTCCAAGGCTGGCTCATTCTGTCCTCACAAGGCTTTGATGTGACAGCTTGTGCTGCCATTCTCTATCCTGTCCATTCCTACCTCCTACATTTGTCCTGTAAATACCCTGTGCTTGGAGCATTCCTTCCCCATCCCATGAGCTTTGGAGTTGCTTAAAAATCCTCAAGTCTCAACCTTTCGGGTCCTGGCCTGAAGGACCTCTCGACCCTGAGAGCAGGCAGTGCTGCAGGTTTGGGGACAACCCCAACTGCACAACCCACAGAGCTGTTGCCCTTCCCCTCTCCCAGGCTCCCAGCTCCTTCGGGAATTGAAGAAGATGGATGACAAAGCACTGCTGGTGGAAGTGCAGCTGTTAGAGAGCAAGACTTACCATGCCCTGAGCAACCTGCCAAAAGCAAGAGCAGCCTTAACCTCGGCACGGACCACGGCCAACGCCATCTACTGTCCCCCCAAGCTGCAGGCAGCGCTGGACATGCAGTCAGGTGAGGCCTCCAGGACAAAGGGGACATCCAGGACTCCTCCTGGCACATCAGTGACTCATCCTGGAGGGGATAATGGAAAATGATGCTCGGTGGGACCCCAAGATGCCCCCCTGTCTCCCCAGTTATAACGACATTGCTCCAGACACTTGTATTTCCAGCCCATTTTTGATACCCCCCAAGTGGTGGATGGTCTGTCCCCTCCCCAGACACTGCAGCATTACACTGTGTTCCTGACCCATCACACATTCCTGACCCAATTTACCTCCAATGCCCCAAACTTGTCTTTCTTAAAATATCCTCATAAGAGAGAGGGCAGGGATGTTCTTCTGATAGAGATGAGGGAAAGGGGGCACAGGATTCCCTTCACTGAGCAACCAAATTGCTCTGTCCTCTTCCAGTTATGTCCTCTGGCTTGTCCCTCCCACAGGTATTATCCATGCAGCAGAAGAGAAGGACTGGAAAACGGCCTATTCATATTTCTACGAGGCATTTGAGGGAAATGATTCAATTGACAACCCAAAAGCCATCACTGCTCTGAAGTACATGTTGCTGTGCAAAATCATGCTGAACAGGTACGTGGCAAAGGGTGCCTGGGAAGAACATCCCTGCACTTGCAGGGGGAAAGGCTTTTTGTTTATAAGGCTCTGAGCTAATGAGGGAACTCGAGCAGTGTCTGCTTTATCACCTAATCAGTGCTTCTCAGACAGTGTTATTTGAATTGTAGTGATTTGCCATCAGCTGGGACTTTGTGAGGTGCTCTGAGGTTTAAGCTGACTGTGTTGCTGAATAAATGCTCTGTTGCCTTCCCTCCCCTCTCTAGCCCAGAAGATGTGCAAGCATTAGTGAGTGGGAAGCTTGCTCTGCGGTATGCAGGAAGACAGGTATAGAAACTTAATCCTTCCTATCTCCCTCTTATCTCTCAGAATGCTGGGTTATTCTTTTTGTCAAACACTTTGGTCCTTTCCTACCAAAATACCACTCCTGAGTGAAATCCAGAACTGATGAAATTACCAAGAATTGTTACCAGTTGTCTTCGAGGGATTTCCAGTGATTTTCACCACCTGAGAATCTGGAGGGCGATTCACTTCATTTCCCCTGTTTTTCTCCTCCCTTCCCAAATTATAAACTGCCCCATGGCCTCAGGGCCTCGTGTCCCAGCCCAGCAGGTTGAGTCCTGGGGGCTGTGAGGGGGAAAGGAGTTGTTAATTCCTGATCATTCTGACATGTGAACGTGCCAGGCTGGGAGTGCTGCTCCTAAAGTAAACACCATGGGGAGCCCTGGGCACAGCTCAGTGGGAATTGGGGAATATCCTGAGTTGGAAAGGACTCACAAGGATCATCAAGTCCAGCTCCTGGCTCTGCACAGGACAATCCCCAAAAAAAAGGGGGAAGCAGAAGCCCGGGCCTTGTGCACCAGAGCCACGTCCTGGGCACTGCTCTGCTTTGGGGGGAATCAGGTTGGGGCTGAGGCTCTTGCTTTGTTTCAGCAATTAATGGGTAGGCAAAGAAGATGCTGTCCCTGGTGGGGCACCCCTGGGGCTGCTGCTGGGCCCCTGTCACTCAGCAGAGGAGTTGTGGCCCTGCTGAAGGGGAGAAGCTCATCCTGAGGGCTGGAAATGGCCTCCTTCATTTAACAAGTGCCTAACGGGGCATTTTCCATAAAAAACAGTGTCAAACTTGCTCCCAACCTGCAGCTGCTGATGTCAGACCTGCAGAACTTGGGCTGCTTTGTGGGGCTGGTTCCACCTCGTGTCCTGCAGCTGCTGGACACGTTCCCCCTGTCAGCAGCTGCTCTGCCTTGTGGCAGTGACACTCACAGGGCTCTGTAGCACCAGGAACATTCCTGGTTTGCTGCTTGAGCACGTTCCCAGGATACTGCACAGTTTGCATAATCTCAGTGAGAGGAGATTCCAGAAAGAAAAATAAACCTCTTTTGGTTTTCTTTCCCTGCAGACAGAAGCACTAAAATGTGTGGCCCAGGCCAGCAAGAACCGGTCGCTGGCAGATTTTGAAAAGGTGAGACAGCAAATGGGGCCTGGCTGGGCAAAAACCACTCAGAAATGCCAGGTTTGGAAAGCTGTAGGAGCTGCTACATCCCCCAGCAGGAAACCATGGAAACATTGATAGAAAACAACAGTGCACCAAGAGAATACCCCTCAATAATCAACCGGTTTGGTGTTCTTGGCGTGGGGGGTAAACTTGTTTGAACCTGGTTTGTTTATTTTTTCCTTTTTATATTTGGAGAACCAACTCAGCAGCAGTTTTGTGTGTTCCCAAAATTTTTCCTGGCCCCAGCAAGAATGCTAGAGAGGATTCCCATGTCAGGAGCCAGTCTTGCTGTGGGTGAAGCAGAGATTTGGGCTTATGGGAGGATGGAAGATGCTTGAAGGGCTGCTGGGCTGTCATGACCTCCTGGCTTTTAGCTAAGTTTGGGATTGGAATAGCCATGATAACTGTGCTGGGCAGGGAGGGGAGGGGATTTCATCCTCAGAGAACCTGCTCTACCTGAACTATTCCTTCCACAGGCCCTGACAGACTATAAGGTGGAGCTCAGGGACGACCCCATCATAAACACTCACTTGGCCAAGCTCTATGATAATTTATTGGAACAGAACCTGATCAGAGTCATTGAACCCTTCTCCAGAGTACAGGTAAATGTTTGCAGCAGCACATCCAGCCTCTTGTCCCCTGCTGCTGGTGGGTGAGGGGCTTGTTCCCTCATGGAATACTCCTCACTCAGAGCTGCTCAGCACTCCAGAGCTCAGGGTTCATCGTGTTCAGCTGAAAAAAATCATCAAGAGGGGGCTGAGACCTTTGGAAAACCACATTCCAGAGACATTGGCCTTTCCACCTGTTTCCCTTATGCTCACTGAAAGGTGACTGGCTTTGGACCCTGAAGGTAACAGTGTTTTTCTTTGATGAGCTCTGGCAGGGTATGGGCAAAGCTGCCCTGGTCTTGGAGACGAAATATTTCATGTTTCAGAGTGAAATGGCTTGAGGTGTCCAGTCCACCTTCAGTTAAAATTGGACAACAAGGACCTGAAGCTGCAGAGAGGACAAAACCACTGCAGATTTTTTAGCCCAGAGCATTTCCAGGCCCTTGAGCTGTTCCAAAGAGCCCCAAACCTCTGTGTTCTGTGCCCAAAGTGCAGCTAAAGATTTACCTGACTCTGTTGGTCTCTCTTGTAGATTGAACACATATCCAGCCTCATCAAGCTCTCAAAGGTAAGAACCTCCCTAGAAATCAGTGGCACATCTTAAAAGGGCAGAGGAGTTGGGGTTAAATGGCATTTGCCACTGGGAGCTAAACGTGAAGTGTGACAGGTGAGCTGCACAGCATTCCCAGGCAAACACCACCTTGGGAATTCAGCTTTGCCATGGGCAGTTCCTGGGAGGCATCAAGTCTTCCTGTCTCCAGACTTTGCTGTAACATCCCTTTACCTCACATGGGTTTTACTCCCTCTGTTGGCATTTGCTTTCTGTTGGAGACAGATTTTCCTCTGCTCCTGTCCTGACTGGCTCACTCTTCCCTGCTGCCCTGGGTTTAATCCCATGGCGTGCCCAGGGGAACCTTTCTTGGGCCTTTAAGATCCAGGATCCAGCTAATCAGCCTGCAGTGTCATCAGGGCTGTGACTGTCACACTGACTGTTGCAATAACTGCTTTGCAGATCATCCCAGCCAGATTAAGTTTCAGGAAAATCCACTGTAATCCCAGGAAGTGGCATCCCAGGGTGCTGCTGTCGTGTCCTGGCAGGAAGGGCAGAGCTTTGGACGTGAGCTGAGCTCAGCTTTGTGGTCACAGAGTCACAGGAATCACTGGGGTTGGAAAAGGCCTCTGAGATCATCGAGTTCAAGTGTTCCCCCAGCACTGCCAAGGCCACCACTGACCCATCCACGTGGCTTTTAAACCCCTCCAGGGATGGGGACTCCCCCACTGCCCAGGGCTGGACAACCCTTTCCATGAAGAAATTTTTCCTAATATCCAGCCCAAACCTCCCCTGGCACACAAGTTTTTTTTTCCTAGAGTAGCCCTTGGTGTTTAACACATCCTTAATATTTGGAGTAAAAGCTGCTCTGCAGTTGTTCAACTGCAGCTGTGTCCCCTCTGCCCGAGGAGCTGGAGAGGAGCTGCCTCCTGTGGGCCTGCCTGGTGCTGGGTGGATTAAACAAAGCTTGGCCAACTCTTGACCTAATCCTTGCTGAACTGAGCTAGAATGTTCAGATCCCCCCAGGAGTCAAACCAGTCTGAAGTGGCAGATTCAGCATCATCTGTGGAACGAGGAGGCAGGACAATCCTGGGTTTCCTCCTCATTAAAAGCTGCTCTTTCATTTCCTGAGGCATCTAAAGCCTGTCCTGATGTTCAGTGAGGAAATAGCTGCTCTTGAGCAGTGCTCATGTCCCACCAGGGCTGAGTGTGGAGCAGTAAAATTCACATATTTTGAAGCACTTTTGGGAGACTTTTGATTTCTCTGCTTCAATTTCAGGCTGAGGTAGAAAGGAAACTGTCACAGATGATCCTGGACAAGAAGTTTCATGGTGAGTCTCTGCATCCCTCAGTCCTGAGTGCCTTGGTGCCCGTGTGTACAGAGCTGTGCTTGGAGACTCCTCTTCCTCCTCTGAACCCTGGGGGTGCTCAGCTCAGGTGACAGCCAGGGAGGCTCTTCCTGCTGCTCCATCCACCTTCTTTAATCCCATGGATTGATTTTTCACAAATCAGGAACACTGCTGGGTTCTTCTGTGCTGTGAGAGCATCCAAGGAGGGTGTAGGACCCCCCAGGTGGGCTCCTCCCCCATGGAGCTGGCTGGGATGTGGGCACCTTTCCCAGCTGGTTTGTATCCAGCAGGTTCTGTTGGAAGGGGCACCCCCATGGCACGGGAGGTGCTGTGGGTTGGCTGGGCCCACAGCAGAGGTGCTGCCCTGGTGATCCCTCAGGGAAGCAGCTCTGCTCTGGTTGTGTTGTCCCTGTGATCTGGCTGAGGGAGGGGAATGGCTGGAGGCAGCACCCTGGGCACAGAGCCCCCCTGGCACCTGGGAACAGTCCCATTATAAACCAGCTCTTTCTCAGCCTTGCTCCAGTGCTGTGCTGATCCATCCAGGTGGGCACAGGGCCTCGAGGAGGCAGAGAGCTTGTAGGGAATGAGATGTACTTTTTTCCTGGGAATGCTGATGCGGTCCTGACCAAAATCAGCCAGTCCAGCACAACACACGAGCCCTTCCCAAACCCTGGATGTTTCTGGGGTAGATCCCTGAATTCCTACTGTTGGAAGATGTGACCCATGGAGCATCCCAGTGCTAAAGGCAGCTTGTTCCCACAGGAATCCTCGACCAGGGCGAGGGTGTCCTGATCATCTTCGACGAACCCCCCGTAGACAAAACTTACGAGGCCGCCCTCGAGACGATTCAGAACATGAGCAAAGTAGTGGATTCGCTCTACAACAAAGCCAAGAAGTTGACATAGGTGAGTGGGGCCTCTGCAGGCTCACAGAGCTCCATCCCCATCACTGCCAGCCTTGTTCCCTCTCCTCTCGAGTGACGTGGCTCTGTTTTCTCTTTGCAGAGTTGAATTTGCTAGCTGTCATTTGGAGAGTGTGTGTGACAAGGAGAGTGAAACCTTTGGGAAAATGTTAGGAGACTTTTTTTTTTTTGTTTTATTTTCTTTCTTTTTTCTTTCTTTTTTTTTTTCTTGTTTTTTTTGTTTTGTTTTGTTTTCTTTCTTCTTTGTTCTACTTTTCGCTGGGAAAGTTTTTAAACTTCCTCATCCGGTGCATCTTGTATTCCAGACGATGCGTGTTCCAGTTTCCATGTAATCTTTACTGGCCGAACTTTGTATCTTGGGGCGGGGGGGGGTGGGGAAATATTGTTTAAACAAAGAGGGTATTCTAAATAAAAGGAAAAAGGCTTACACTACCTAAACATGTGCTTTCCACTTCCTGAGGGATGGCAGAGTTCAGCAGGGACAGCGTTTTGTTACCAGTAGGTGCCCACATCCGGTTTGTTTCCTCCTCTCCTCCCTGAAACTGGAGCTGTGCCGGTGGAGCACGAGCAGCCAACCCGATTCCATTTGTACTGAACCAAACCAACCCAAAATGTACAGACTGCTGGTTTATTTTTCAAGCCTCAAAGGCCTCAGCCCCCACCCTGGGAAGCAGCTCCGTGGAGGTTTCCCTGCAGGACGGAGCTGTCGGGGTCCCGGCCCCGCTCTGGGCGGAGGGGCCGGCGCAGGTTCCCCTGAGCCTGACTTTGCATGCTCTTGTTTGCAGATAGACTAGGTTTTAAATGTTTTCTCCCTCCCCACCTGCACTGGTAGGAAGAGCAGGTGACCCTGACTGTCCATATTTACTCTGCTGCATCAGTGTTTGATTTTTGTTCCCCATCTGATGTGGGACAGCTTGGCCCTCTGGAATAGCCCAGTGCAGCTCGCTGGGAGCTTCCTCCTTAGTCCCAAAGTCATGTGGGGGGTGGAGCACGGTGTATTCCAGCATGTTCCATTTTCTGGTGAGGTTTCCAGTAGGTTTTAATGCCATTTGGGCAGTGTAAGCTTCTGCATCTCTGTCCTGCTCATCTTTATTTCTCCTTTCCCCTCTGCCTCTTTTTCCCTCTCCGCGTTTTTCTTACAAAATTTATATTTTGTAAAAGGATTCTGTTTTATCAGGAAATACTCTGCCTTCACGCTGACTCTTAGACTGGCTGATTTTTCCCCTTTTCTGTTCACATTTTGACCTCTCTGACCTTATATTTTATTTTATTTTATTATTCTTAATTTCCATCTCCTCCAGTCAGTCGCTGTTTGGGTTTTTGGCACCATCAATATCAAATGTACAAACGGTTCTTGCTAACCAACACCAGGTATATCTGATGTTCAGATGAGTTCCAATAAAGAATTTTTTTTTCAAAAGCCTCTGTCTCCTGTTTTCAGCCTCCAAGGCACATCCTGGGCATGTTGGGAGCAGGGTGGGATCATCCCCTCACCAGAGCATCATTGGGGTTGATGTTTGGGAGACACCAAATGTGTTGGAAACAGCATCACTGAAGATTTATGGGTTGTGACCTGTTCCTGGCACAACTCTTGGAGTTCTACTGAATTAAGTATAATAATAATTTAAAATCAGTATAATATAATGATAATTGGGGGCTTATGAAAAGAGGAGAGGGGGATTTTTTTTTATACTGGCAGGACAAGGGGGAATGGCTTCCCACTGCCAGAGGGAAGGGCTAGATGGGATATTGGGAAGGAATTGTTGGCTGTGAGGGTGGGGAGGCCCTGGCCCAGTTTGCCCAGAGAAGCTGTGGCTGCTCCTGGATCCTGGAAGTGTCCAAGGCCAGGTTGGATGGGGCTTGGAGCACCCTGGGCTGGTGGAAGGTGTCCCTGCCCATGGCAGGGGTGGCACTGGGTGGGCTTTGAGGTCCCTTCCCACCCAACCCTTTCCATTGTTATTATTAAAATTAATAAGATCTGGCCTGGATCCTCCAGCCCTTCCTGAGAGTGCCCTGGTGCCATATTGGAGTCTCACACCACAGGGCCAGGCCAGGATTCCTCTTCAGGCTGGGGAGGGTTTTTAGGGTGTCATTGATGTAATGTCTCGAATTTCCACGTCTGAAACTCGCACATCTGGGACACCAGATGGTGTCCCTGCACCAGGTGGTGCAGGGAAGAAACCTGCCCTGAGAGGCAGGAAAAGGTGAAGGATTTCACTCTGCTCTTACTCAGGGCTCAGGCTGCAGGGAAGTGCAGTTCTAGTTTTAATAGTTCTATTTTTCAGCTATAAGTAACTCATAAAATACTTCCCCAAAGCAGCTCTGGCCAGTTCAACATAACACCACTGAAGTGTTTTCCCTGGGGATGCATCCCTGTGGATGGGATTTGCTGATGTATGTTCCAAATTGTGGGTGAGGGAAGAGAGAATTCATTCTTGGAAGTAGAGCTGGAACTGGCAGACAGGCACAGGCAGGGTTGGGATGGAGAAAGGTGGGGATGGCTTTGAAGTCACAGAATCCCAGAATGGTTTGGGTTGGAAGGGACAGTAAAGCCCACCCAGTGCCACCCCCTGCCATGGGCAGGGACACCTTCCACTAGCCCAGGTTGCTCCAAGCCCTGTCCAACCTGGCCTTGGACACTTCCAGGGATCCAGGGGCAGCCACAGCTTCTCTGGGCAACCTGTGCCAGGGTTTTCCCAGGTGCCTCCAAGTGTATTAAAATGAGGGCCAGAAACAACCTCAAATGGTAGATCCCGTTGTTAAACCCTTTTTTGGCTTAAAATTAATAAAGCTGAAAATAAAATCAGGGTGTTGCTGTCACACCCAGGCCTTCTGTGCTGCTCAGATCCAGGGGTGTTTTTAATGGACAAAAGGAATCCTCAGTGACAGCAGTGCCCAGGCTGGGCCTGCACGGTGCTCATGATGCAGCGAAGCCTCCAGAGCTGTTTGAGAGGAGGATGTGCAGAGTCCTGGCCATCCCTTAAAAAGCAGCTCCCACAGGGCTCTGGATGCCCTTTGAAGGACCGGCAGGTTTTCGGGTGCTCTGGGCCAGGTCTGTCCTCACGGGAGATTTTGGGTTTTTTCGAACGTCCCCGTGCTGTGGGAGGGGGCCCGGCAGCCGCAGCTCTGGGGCGGGGCGTAAATGAGTATAAATGAGTTTGGGTCATTAGTGAAGCCCTGGCGGGTGCAGGAACGAGCCCGACCTGTCCCTGTCCCTCTGCCCGGCCCGGAGCTGGGCCCCGGAGCCGCCTCTGAGTGTCGCTGCAGGTCGTGCCGAGCCCGGTGGTGGCTCCCGGAGCCGCCGCCGCTCCGGTCCCTGCGGGAAGGGGGATCCCGGTCGCGGTCCCTGCGATGGGGGGGTGGCGGTGACGGCGGCTCCGAGCGGGGCCGGGCAGAGCGTTCCCCCAAAACCCGCCGGGCCTCACAACGCGGTACCGGGCAGGGACGTGTCCCGGAGCCTTCGGGGCGAGCGGCGGCCCCCGGCCCGGAGCCGGGGGAGGCATCACCGGGGTGCGGGTCCAGGGCTCGGCTCTGGAGTGCGGGGTGCGGGCGCCGGCAGAGGAGGGGTTTAAATCCTAATTTTGAGATTTTTGCAAATAATTTCCGTTGTTATTTTATTCTCTCCGCCCGGGCCGTGCCCGGCCTCTGCCCGCGGGCTCGGGGGGGGGATCCGCGACCACCGAGACCCCAACCCGGGGCCGCCTGGGGGGCAGGGGCCGGGGCGCGAGGGGCGGGGCCTCCATCATTCAGAGAAGCGCGGTGCGCGCGGTGTGGGCGTGGCCTTGTGCCATGTGGGCGTGGCCAAACCATATAGGGAATATCAGGGGCTCGGCCTCGACCGAGAGGGGCGTGACCAATCCCATTCCTTGACATGTGGGGCGTGGCCAACGCTGTGTGGGCGTGGCCTGAGAGCATGGGGGCGTAACCAAACACTGCGAGGGATGCTGAGATGGGCGTGGCCAAGGCGGGTAGGGGCGGGGTCTCTTCCATTCGCGGGCAGGCGGGGGGCGTGGCCTCCCCCCGTTGCCGCGGCGGGCGCACGTGGCGGCGCGGGGCGGGGCGGGGGCGGCGGGGGCGGCAGGCGCGCGCACTGCGCCGGCGGGACGCGCGCGGCGCGGGCGGGTCAGGCGCGGCGCTGAGCGGCGGCGGCGGCGGCGGCGGCGGCGGAGGAGCAGCGAGAGCGGGGCCGGCCGGGCCGGGCCGGGCCGGGGCCGGGGCGCAGGGCCGGGGGCCGCGGGGGCCGCGGGCGGGCGGCGGCGGCGGCGGGGGCCCCGCCGGGGCGGCCAGCGCCATGGGCACGGTGCTGTCGCTGTCGCCGAGCTACCGGAAGGCCCCGCTGTTCGAGGAGGGGGCGGCCACGGTGGGGCACTACACGGCGGTGCAGAACAGCAAGAACGCGAAGGAGAAGGGCCTGAAGCGGCACTCGCTGATCTCGGTGCTGCCCTGGAAGCGCATCGCCGCCGTCTCCGCCAAGAAGAAGAGCTCCAAGAAGGTGCAGCCCAACGGCGGCTACCAGAGCAACGTGACCCACCTCAACAACGAGAACCTGAAGAAATCGCTCTCCTGCGCCAACCTCGCCACCTTCGCCCCCGCCGCCCCCGCCGCCGCCGCCGCCGCCCTCGCCTCGGCGCAGAAGGTGCCCCCGGCCGCGCCCGCCGCCGCCGCCGCCACCCCGCGCAGGGTCGTGGTGCAGGCGAGCACCAGCGAGCTGCTGCGCTGCCTCGGCGAGTTCCTGTGCCGCCGCTGCTACCGCCTGAAGCACCTCTCGCCCACCGACCCCGTGCTCTGGCTGCGCTCCGTGGACCGCTCGCTGCTGCTGCAGGGCTGGCAGGACCAGGGCTTCATCACGCCCGCCAACGTGGTGTTCCTCTACATGCTGTGCCGGGACGTCATCTCGGCCGAGGTGGCCACCGACCACGAACTGCAGGCAGTGCTGCTCACCTGCCTGTACCTCTCCTACTCCTACATGGGCAACGAGATCTCCTACCCGCTGAAGCCCTTCCTGGTGGAGAGCTGTAAGGAGGCCTTCTGGGACCGCTGCCTCTCCATCATCGACCTCATGAGCCCCAAGATGCTGCAGGTCAACGCCGACCCGCACTACTTCACCCAGGTCTTCGCCGACCTCAAGAAGGAGAGCGGCTCCGAGGAGAAGGGCCGGCTGCTCATCGGCCTCGACCGGTGAGCGCCCGCCGCCCCCCGCGCCCCCCGGACACGCCGCGCCCGCCCGGCCCGGAGCCGCTTCCCGGGGGGATTTGCCCGGCCGGGAAGGGCGGGAGGTGCCGCCGCTCCCCCACCCACCCTGGGGGGGTCCCGGGGGGTTCGGACCGGAGCGCAGACCCCCGGTTCGCGCCCCTGCGCCGCCGCTTTTCCAGCCGCCGCCCCCTCCCCGCGCTGCGGGCCCGGGGATGCTGCGGCTCCGCCGCCGGATTGATCCAGCACATCGTGGATGGATAGGGGGAAAAGAACCTCCCCCACAACCTCCCGGGAGCGGAGCGGGGCTCCGCGGGGCCGGTCACCGCATCACCGAGACAGAGCCCAGGCAGCGGGGAAAAGGAGGAAAAAAAAAAAAGGAAAAAAAAAAAGGAAAAAAAAATTCCTCTAAAGGCTCTAACGGAGGCGGCTGAACCGGCCCGGTCGGGACTCACCGGGACAGAGACGCGGGCACGGCCCGGGGACCCCCCCACCCCCATCTCCCCCGTCCCCCCACCCCCTCCTTTATTTATTTTCTTTGAAGAGACTCGAATTCCCGAGCGGGTCCGGGTGACGGGAATCACCGCTACTGTTCATGAGATCAATGTGAAATGTCTTGTTCCCATCGTGCACTGATCATGAGTATTGTGTAAAGGATCTACTTGAGTGTGCAAGCAAAGGGGAGCCGCCACATGCTGCTATATGAATTCTTCTAGAACAAACCCAACTGAACTGCAAAAACCTGCGGGGGGGGGGAAAGAGAGGAAAAAAAGAAAAACAACGAAAAAAAAAAAAACAACCCTTCTTTCTTCTGTCATTGTTGCTTTTCCAGTGGTTACTGCGCATGCAAAACAGGAGCATTTTGTGTCTTCAGATAAAAAAAAAAAAAAAGGAAAAAACGCATAAAAAAATAATAATCAAAAGAAAAAAAAAAAAAACCTTAACGAGAGATGGCTGTAAAATTACACCCATGCACAAAGACCCAACACCACCCCCGACACCGCAGTCTCAGCCGGTATTCCCGTATCAGGCCTGGGGACTGAGACCTTTCTTTTTGGGTTTTATCATCATTTTTTTCTCCGTGTGCTCAGTTCTAGTTTAGTTCTGGTCCATCGGGCGTTAAACTGGCGAACGAGAGGGAGAAATAACGTGCCATTTACTTTTATTTTTTTGATTTTTCTTTTTTTTTTTTTTCACTTGAAGCTCTTCATGGCTGTACATTGGACCCTGCTAATGATACATGTGTACGTACGTTTTTTTAGTGCAATCTCTTCTGTAGATCTTTGTTGACCAAATTGGTGGGTATTGTTACTTATTAATTTATATTTGTCTCATTTTGTATGTATGTGTATAGTGTGTTTGTAAGTATGTGTGGTTTATAACCCGACCGACTGTGTCATGGGGCTCAGTGTGCCTGTAATTTAATCCCCTCCCCTTATTTTTATTTATTTTTGTACTGTGCTGATTAAATAAAAATGCACTGACCATCCATTACACGGCAGTGGCTCGTGGCCGAGTCTTTTCTGCGCTCCCACCCCTCCACTGGCAACGTTGGGAATGGGATTTGTGTTGACGACAGAGGGTTTAAAGCAGCTTTAATCACGTTACCAGCCCCGGGGTCACCCCGTGGTGGGAGAGCAGCAGGTCCAGGAGTAAGCCAGAGGGGGGGAAAAAAATCGGGATATTGGGACAACAAAACACCACGTTCCCTCCGAGCATCATCATCGTCCCTGCAGAAACAGGCACGGCCATGGTGGGATGCAACTAACTGCTTTTTTTTTTATTATTTATTACAGTGAATTATGTAAACAAAACCCAGGTCCATTATAGTAGGTTTTTTTTTGTTTTTTGTTTTCTTTTACACATTAAAATATCAGCGATTTAAAATAATAATAATAATAATAATAATAATAATAAAAAAAAGGGTTCATTGCATTATCGCCCCCGGCTGAGAATCAGATTCAATTTAGAAATAGTTAATTTATGGGAAAACCAGGAATATATATATATTTTATATATTTTTATATATATATATATATATAAAACCAGAGCAGGAACAGATAATATATTTTATAAAGACATCTCATCACATACAATATTGCCATCTCATGGTGACAGAAATTCCCTAAGCCTGCGCTGCGTTGCCGTCCATCCCGATTCCAAACGACCATTCCATTGGGAGGGAAGAGTGGATAAAAGTGCTGATTAAAATCCTGCCACTGCCTGGCTGGGGTTAGTGCGGCGGGGGAGCCTCTGCACCGGGACATCGAAGCGAAGTGCAAATCCAAAGGCACAGCAAGGCCGGGGATGCTCCCTCTGGAGCGGCCCCGGCAGGAGCCGGGCTGTCCCACGGTGCTGCCGCTCCCGAGGAGCCGAGGTGGGATGAGGGGAGGTGGTGGAGGGTCCGTGGTGGTCCCCGAGTGTGTGTGGGGACGGTCGGGGCTGTCGGTGTCCCCTCCTCGTGTTTGCAAGAGCTTCTTCCTGCAGAGCCCCAAAGCCACAGGCTGGGAGGGGGCAGGGGCACTGGGAGGTGGTGCTGGGATGCTGACAGGGCTGCTCCAAGGCTGGGGACCTCGGGAATGGTGTGGAGCATCCCCGGAGGAGGGCTGAGCTTGTGCCAGGTAACACAGAGCCGGAGCTGCTCCACACTCAGGTCCCCCCCAAGTCCTGGGGGTGCAGTGACCTGTCCCTGCACCCCGTGGCTTTGGGAAGCCTTTCGTTAGCAGGTCATTAGTGAAGAGCCTCTTCCAGGCTTCCCAGTTCCCGAAATGCTCCATTAAACAAGTGCTCCCAGTTTTTACCCTGAGGTGGGGTCACCACGCAGCCCCCGCCTCCAGGGCTGGGAATCCTGACCTGACCAGCAGTGCCAGGACAATCCCAATGTACAATCCCAACAGCCTGGGCTGCTCAGGAGCCACAGCAGGGCCTGGCACGGTGGGAATAAACCAGGGGGTATCCAGGTCCTTCCGTAAACACAGAGCTCTGGGTTATCTGGGCCGGGCAGGCGCGGGCGGAACGTGGAGCCACCAGGCGAGCTGAGGGGATGCCCAACACCCCAACACCCACATCCCACTGCTGGGAAGAGCTGGGATAGCTCTCTGGAGGGAAGAGCCCGGGTGCTGGTCTGTGCTGCTGCCCCTGGGGCTCCCAGGGTTAGTGTTGGATAGTGCAAAGCGCCGGAGCCGCAGCCTCGGCCCCACAAAGCTCCCCGTGGTTCTGGACTCACCCCCTGCCTCGGGTCCCTTTTCCCTCCCCGAACCCCAGCGCTGGCACGGACACGAAGCCACGTGGATCATCTGAAAACCCAGCAAGTCCCAATGGGAACCCACTGGATTTAGGTCCCCGGAGAGGGTCATTAAGGCAAAAGCAATGCAGGGGTAACAAAACAAGCCCCTGCACTGGGAAGGCCCCTCTCCAGTGCTGGACCCGCCTCCAGCCAAGGTGCCTCGGGCTGTTAAGGAATTCCCGGTGGGAAAGCAGCAAGTCTGGAGGTGTCTCCATGTACCATCCCAGCTCCGTGGGGCTGGAGGAGTGTGGAGTGTCTCCCGGCCTCCCTCCCAAACCTGGCTCTGGTTCCACGGGGATTCGGTCCTACAGAACCAGACTCCCTGAGCCGGGTATCTTTGGTTCCTCCTGAGGAGGAGGAGGCTGCATCATATTGCAAAAAAAAAAAAAAACCAGCACATGGAAAAGAAACACGGGAGGGAAAACTGGAGAGGGGGAAAAGAATCAATATGGGAAAGGGAGGAAAGGGTGGAAGTACCTATTAACGCTTTTTTTCTGGACTAATTTCAAAGCACTTTTGTGATATTCCAGCCTGGTTTGTAAGATGGAGAACAGGTCACTGGCTATTTCAAGCCTTTTGTTGTTCCGCGTGAATTTGGCTTTTCTGAAACCCCCTGACTTCGGGTTTTCCAAAAACCTCGAGCCTTACAGAGCCCGTTCCAGGCGCCTGACGCGTCGCAGCCGAGCATCTCCCAGTGAATCCCGACGAGTCCCGGGCGCGGGGAGGGCGGGCCGAGCCCCGGCGCGGGCGGAGCGGGTGTTAATTCCCCGGCACGGAGAGGACGAAGCCGGAGCGATGCTTGGTGAAATCCGGTTGGGATTGGTTAATCCTGGTTTCCACGGAGACCGTGCATTTCCGCCCGTGGAGGCTGCACTGCACCGGGTTGGTGACGCTGATGTGCAGGGCCCGCTTCTCCCTGCCAGGGAAAGGGACACGGGTCAGAGGGACGGGATGGGGATCCAGGGCTGCCAGAGGCGTTTTGGGGTCAGGGACATCGAGTTTTTGGGCTCGGCTCAGCCCCGCTCCCGCTTGTGAAGCTCCCACTCTGCACCTGGAGATTTGGGATGGGGATTGATGCCTCACGGGCACAGACAGGGCTGTAGAAGGTCCAGGGGCTGCTGCCACCTCGGTGACCCCACCAGCAAGCCCTGAACCTCCAGCAGTGACAGGGACACCCGGGCTGGGCTCACAGACTAAAACCCAGCCCAGAACAGCCAAAGGAATCCCATGTAGGGTGGTGGTTCCTTCCAATTCCCTCTGCAGATGGACGGACGGACAGACAGTCCCGTGCCAGACACAACTGCAAACCCTTCTCGGCTTTTTAACCCAATTTTGGCAGTAAAAAAATGATTCCCGCAAATGAACCAGGAGTTTCTGCCACCCACGTTGGTCTGTCCTGGGCTGTTTGGGGTCACTGCCAAGGGGGGACACGAGGACATGGCCAGGGCTGCCCATCCCTGCTCTGGCCAGGCAGGGACAGGGATGGCTGGAAAACAAGTCCTGCTTTGCTAAAGGCCATAAAGGCTCCAGATCCCAAATACTGTTCCCTTTGCTGTGAGGGTGGTTTAAAGACCTGCTGACATTACTCCACTGCCTCTCCTGATGCTCCAAACACCCCAGAGAGGATGTGTTAGGATCCCATTGTTTGGCTTCCAGACCCCAGGCCCTTCCTGGCCTGAACCATTTCGGTGTTTCCACTGCCACAGCCCAACTTCTTCGTGCAGTTTTTACTCCACTGCTCAAGCTGTGCCACATCCCTTAAGCCACATTTTGATGCAGCTTCCAAATAATTCAGATTTTCACCAATTCCATAAAAATGGTTGGTTGGGATGGTTGGTGGGTTGGTTGGATGGTTGGTGGGTTGGTTGGTTGGAGGGGGCTGCCAGGGCACAGCACACAAAGCCCTCACGTTGTCCCAGGTATTAAATACTTATTTACTCTTGCCTGGGTGAGTCAAGGCTGAAATCCCAGCTTAGTTTGCTATTTTTGCCATGTCTTAGCAGGAGGAGCCTCCTGGAGATTCCTGTCCCCACGTGCTTGGGGACCAGCTTTATCACCAAGCGTCTGCAACACGGATAAGGGATGAGGACTTTCCTCTCCTCCAGCCCTCAGCAGGTTCTGGGTAACAAGGCAGAGGATCTGGAGAGAGGAATAACCTGAATTTTGACCCCTAAGAAGGACCCAAGCCTGGAAATCAGGAGGCTGTGGGACCTGCAGCAAGAAGGCGAATCTAAACACATCTACCTAAAGCTAATGCTGTCCTGGGATGGTGGGAGCTGGAGGAGATGCTCTGATCTTTGCCAGGGGGAACAATTCCCTCAAAACACTTCCCAAATCCCACCATGCCAACACCCACTCATTCACCACGTGCTGCCTGAGGTTTCATCCTCAAAAAAAAAAGCCTTTTGCTGGGGAGGGGGGGCAGGACAGCTCCTGGGTGGCATCCAAGGGACAACCCCCAAGGGATCTGCAGATCCATGAGGAGGACAAGATCCTTGCTCAGTGTTCCCTTCTGGGCACCACCACCCCAGCCCTGCCACCAGCTCCACGAGCAGCTGGAGCTGCTGGGACCTCGGGCCCCTCGGAGGCTGCGCTTGGTCGGTCGCCAGAAGAGGAGGAGGGGGGAGGAAACCTGGGAATGCCAAGTTTGGTTTCCAGCCTGGTGGTCACAGCAGCCTCACTCCTGGTGCTGCAGTGAGGGGGGGGATGTGGGCAGCTGCTGGTGCCCCAGGGGACAGGAGGGTTGGTTGGTGACCCAAAGGGAGGGAACAGCTGCTGCACCAGCCGGGAAAATCGGACTGAAGACCTTTCCGGATCCCACTGCCACAACCAAGCAGCTGGGGAGGTGGTGATTCCCCAAGTACCCACAGAATTTATCTCCCAAAGGAAGGGCTTGAGATGAAGGTCCAGAGCAGTCCTGGGAGTCAACAAAGCCTTTCATAGGCAAGGGCAACACATGAAACATGAAAATGCCCTTTGGGGATTGCTGGTGCTCTGCAAGACCCTGAAGGCAGCAAAGGCAGAGAAAAGTCCCAGCTCCACTCAGACTTGAGCTGAAAAAGGAGTTCTCAGGGTACAATCCTGTCCCACCACTTTTTGGGGACTTTGGGCAAGGGCTTCCCACTGCCAGAGGGCAGGGATAGATGGGATGTTGGGAAGGAATCCCTGGTTGTGAGGGTGGGCAGGCCCTGGCACAGGGTTGCCCAGAGAAGCTGTGGCTGCCCCTGGATCCCTGGAAGTGTCCAAGGCCAGGTTGGAGCAACCTGGGCTGGTGGAAGGTGTCCCTGCCCATGGCAGGGGTGGCACTGGATGATCCTTCCCACCCAACCCATTCCATGACTCCCTGTGGGCACCAGGCACAGTCCAGCCCTTTGGGCAGCTTTGGCTCCTCACTGAGCCCTGGTGTCACCACACACTGATGGAAGTCAAGTCCATCAGGACAAAATGACAGATGCAGCTCCTGGGCACCTCCTGGGAAACAAACTGACTTATTTTGAACAAGGATTCCACCAGAAGAGGCAGCGAGATGTGAGCTGAGACCCTGCCAGGGGAGGAACCCCAGCCCCAGAACCCAGGAAGAGTGAAACCACCTGGAAAATGGAAGTGAGGGGAAAAGAGGTTTTGTGGGGAAGTTGGGATCTACCCCAGCACTGCTTCCCTCCTGCCAGGGAACACATGGGAATGCCTGTGTGGAATGAAAAACATGGGAATGCCAGTATGGAATGAACCAGACAACAGTTCCTGCACGCCATAAACACCAAGGTGTTGGTGCTTTCTGCAAACACAGCTCTTTGTGCCACTGCAAGGAGATGTTTTTGGGTGGGAACAGCTTCTCCAGCAAAGCACAGCTGCTGATCCCAGCTCGTGGGGAGGGCTGGGGTTTCTCTTTGCATTTCCTGGCTCGGTGATCCCTGCAGGACCGAGCCACTCTTCTTCCTTCATTTTTTTTCCCAACCCATGCCATGCTCTTGGAGTGCCTGGAGCAGCTCCCCTGGCTCGGCCCTGGCTCTGGGTGGGAGCAGGGGGTGTGCAGGGCACGGGGGGCAGCACATCAGGTGGGTGGGAGCCACATCCTGCAGCCTCAGAGGCACAGGGGGAGCTGAGCAGGAGCTGAGCAGGGCCCTGGGTGAGCAAACCAGCAGAGAGGGGAGGACTCGGAGAGGAGGGAGATCACTGGCCCATGAAATGGGAGAGTTTTGACTGAGCATTTAATCCAGGACCTCGGGGAAAACACAAGCCAAGTGGCGCATAAATGGCCCGAGACATCTGTCAGCTCTGCAGACAGCACGAGGGGGGAAGGAAACAGCCAGGGCAGGGAGGGGGCAAAGATCAGAGGGAGCTCTGGCAACACAAGGCTGGAGAGTTGAATAAATACGTTAAGTAAATGTTAAACATGCAGGATGCCAGGTTGGAGCAACCTGGGCTGGTGGAAGGTGCCCCTGCCCGGGGGACTGGATGGGCTGTCAGCTCCCTTCCAACCCCAAGCATTCCATGATTCCCTGCTGAAGAGCAGCCACAGGTGACCTGGAATGCCCTGCAAGGAGCATGAAAATCCAGCAGAGCACTTGTCTGGGAGATATTCCCCATGGGCAGCTCCATCCAGCAGGATGGGGGGCTGGGAACAGGGACAGGGGCACCCACCAGGGGCTGGGGGGCTGGGATGGAGCAGGGATTTACCCAGATTTCCCAGGATCTTTCAGTGAGGTGCTGCTTGCCTCAGATGGGGGGTGCAGCCAACACCATCACAGAGCAGGAAATGGGCTCTGCTAGGAAGCCAAATTTGGGTAGGGGTGGCAAAGCCGAGCACAGCCAGGTGCCCGCTTTTCATGACAACAAAAACTCAGGGGTTTTCAGAGGGATTCAAATGGTGCTGCATGTGCAGTGCAGTGTGAAAGGAGGGCTCAGCAGCAGTGAGTCCAGTGGGATGGGTTCCAGAGGCGACTGCTTTAAACCATCCCATTTTTCCAGATCTTAAACCGAGGTCTCCTCCTGGAAGGGAGCACTGTGGGCTGCCAGGCTGCCTTCCAAGCCAGGGATGCTCTGTGATTCTGTGACACCACAAAGCCCTGCAGCTGCAACCAAGATGGGAGGGATCAGGAAGGGCAGGATGGAGAACACCCAAAAGAACGGGAACACCTTATGTAAGCCAGCCCTGCCTCATCTGGACACCGGCTGAGCCTCGTAGGGGGGCACAGCCACGAAAGGAGACATCAAAAAAGGCTCCCAGATGAAGGGAGGCTGCAAAAAAAAAAAAAAAAGAAGGCAGAAAAGCAGGAGCTATATTCTGCACGAAGAAAATGTGCAGGAAGAGGAGAGGGAGAAGCTGGAGAGGTCTAAAAAAAGGCACTTTTCAAGGCTCTGCTTCCCAACAAGGAGGCAAGGACGGAAAGAGGGATACTGAGAATTCCAAGGAGGGTTAAATCAGCTCTCCAGGCAATGTGTGGTGTCACTGCTGGGGGATCACTACAGCATGTGGAACTCACTGCTACTGGGTGGCAGAGGTGAGAATCATGGAATCATGGAATGGGTTGGGTTGGGAAGGACCTTAAAGCTCATCCAGTTCCACCAGGGACACCTTCCTCTATCCCAGGGTGCTCCAAGCCCCGTCCAACCTGGCCTTGGACACTTCCAGGGATCCAGGGGCAGCCACAGCTTCTCTGGGCAACCTGTGCCAGGGCCTGCCCACCCTCCCAGGGGGAATTTCTTGAGCAGGGTCTGAAAAGACACTGGGTACAAGATGGGTGATAAACATGGACATATCTGAGGTACAACAGGTGTCATTTGGGGACAGATAAGTGTCCTGTGCACGAGGGTTTAGGGCCCAGGCTGGTGTCTGGCAGGGCAGGGATGGGGATATATCTCATCTGGCCACTTGTGGGTTTGTGCAGCTTGCAGGACAATGATACTGGGGGTGTT